GTGTGTGCAGTTGTCACTAGTCACACACAGGCACAGAACATTCGCAGAGAGCAGAAAGAGCTTTGTTCAAATAAATTGTATTTTAATTATTTTAATTATTTTTGTATTTTATTTGTTATGTAAAAATACCCAACCTGCAGGCTTGTCAAAGCCTGATCCCGTCAGATTTCAGAAGCTAAAGTTGGACCTGGCTAGTATTTAGGTGGGAGACCACTCCAAAATCAGGTGCCACAGGGGGCCCCAGCCGCAAAAACTGTTGTTGTGTCCTTAGGCAAGGCACTTCAACCACATTGAGAGTCTGAAAGTGGAGTATGCGTGATGGTGGTTTTCGGAGGGATCAATGGCGCCGATTGGCATGGCAGCCGCATTTCAGTCAGTCTGCCCCAGGGCAGCTGTGTAGTTTACCACCACTGGGTATGGAGTGAATGAATAATGCTCTGTAAAGCATATTTGTGACAAAATGTCTGTGAAAAGTAATATATAAATAAAAAATGTACTTACTTTCCTTACAAAAATATACCTAACCTTAAATTAATAACTAAATTTTGATTAAAAACAATGTCAGATAGATGACAACCTTTACAATGTGTCAACAAAATTTTTAAATGTAGTTCTTCTAGTAACTAATGTACCTTTGCTTTTTATTACTTAACTTCTCTTTTTTTTTTTTTTTTTTTTTTTTTTTTTGAATCAACTATACTGACAAGACAAAGTGGTTAGTGCTCTCAAATGTAGTAGTAGCAGCAGTAATAGTAGTAGTAGTAGAAGTATCAGTGGTAGAATTAGTAATAGTCACAGTTCTTGAATCGTATGTTCCAGTAAAAGTAGAAATAGTCTGCTAATCGTCTATAACAGTTTAAATTGCAGTAGTAGCAATTTTCATAGTTTTGTGGTTCACTAATGGATAGCTGCAGGACACACTAGCGAGAATCAGATTTTATTTTTATTTTTTTTAGATTTCATTTTTATTTATGTGATGTGACCAAATATTACGTGTATCACTGATTTTTTTTAAAATTAATTGGAGACTGAAGTAAGTACAGAGCAGTCGATATATGAAAACAGGAGTCAATCTTCAATATGGCAATGATTAAATGATTGCTTAAACATGCACAAATCACTCCAAATGCAAGTTTGAGACGGGAAATGAGAAGGGGAGACAGCTATAAAATTGCTAAAAGTCTGATTCTGAATAGGCCTGTTTCATAAAATCCGAAGCTGAAAAATCTTACTCATAATCAGATAATGCTGTACCCTTGTGTAGATCTAAAACAGTTGCTAAAATAGCCTCAGCCTTGTCCACATGTCTGAAAGGATCCACATGGTGTGTTTGAGCAGGAGATTGCACCTCTCACTGTGTTTAGTGTTTCTGTCTCTGTTTGTTTACCACTGGATGTGTCCACTCTGCCAGACTCTGTGTGAATGCTTAATGCAGATACACCGCAGACCTGCTCTATTTAAAGAAAGGACCAGAGGTGGAAGAGTACTGCAAATGTGTACTCAAGTAAAAGTACCGTTCATAAATGTACTCAATCATAAGTAAAATTGAGAAAATTTGTACTGAAAGGGCCTATATTGTGTTATTTTCTGATGTTATAACCATACCCAGAGTTGTGTTTTGTTTCATTCACACATGTTTAACACACAGATCCTGCATCTCTGTTCCACCTTGTGATATCATGTGGTAATACAGAAAGTGCTCCACTGTGTTTTTAAACTTTGTACACCTTCACAGAGCATTTTGAGCTTTGGAGATGTAAACAAAGAACAGGCAACAACATTATAACATGGCTTAAAGGGACAGTCCGGAATTTTGGACATAGGGCCTCATTTCAAGTTAGTTAGAGTGTCGGGAGACATGTGGAGACACTTTTTAAAATATTCCAACCGGTCCTTGTATTTGTAGAGGTCACTGGTGCTAGGCTGGTGCATGTCAATGGCCATAGTTATTAGTCTGCAACTAAAAAAACCCTTACCCACTCCACAAAACACCTGAAGCAAATATGTTAATATGCCAGACTGTCGATGTGAATGTCTGTGTTGATAGAATAATGTTTGAAACAAAACTAACCTTGCATTGCATGAATCGTCGAATGTTGAGGGACTATTTTCTCAGCAGCAGCAAAATTTTACTTTGCCGGTAAGATAGGTGCTAGGTGATATCAGTCCGCCGCTGCCAAGTTTTTTTTTTATCAGGAATTACAACTTGCTGCTGCTGCTCAGACATAAATCCTTCAAATGCAAGGTTGGTTTTACTTCTAAAATTATTCTATCAACACACATTTACACATCGACAGGCTGGTGTAATAATAAATATGCTTCGGGTGTTTTCTGGCGAGTGGGCAAGACTGTTTTTTGTGACAGGCTAACTATGGCCATTGACATGCGCTAGCCTAGCCTCAGCGACCTCTGCAAATACAAGGATTGGATGGAATATTTTAAAAAGTGTCTCCACACGTCTCCCTCACTTGGCTCACTAGGAAATGAGGTCCTATGTCCAAAATTCCAAACTGTCCCTTTAAAGTTCACAAGAGCCAATTTTTGCGCAATATAGGACCTTCAGAGGTGTAGTATGTAATCTTTCTAGATGAAGGGGCGTTATCATCTTGTCTCCTTGCATGAAGGTGTTATGGCTTCACTTGGAATGTTCCACAGTATGGCATTAAACTTTGGAGACAAGCAAGAGACACTATCAGGGCAAGTTATATCTCAGATCTGTGGATAGACATCCTCACTTGTAAAATGTACTTATTGAATGTGATTTAATATTTGGCAAAATAGATCAATGCCATACTGTGGGACCTTTTTGCCAAAGCAATAACATCTCCATGGAAACAAGCAGATGGCAGATGTTACATAATACATATTTGAGTGAAAGTATAAAGCACAAGATACTACTCAAAGTATTCATCAGTAGTTACACTACAACACAAAGCTTGATTGATTAAACAGCTAAAGTTGTTTTAAACTGCAGTAGACAGGATATTCTTTGAGATCTGACCAATCAGAAAAGCTGATGCAGTGACAACTTTGGATTTAGTCTTTAACTGTAACTAATATGAATAAAAAAATTAAATATATAAAAAAAATCTCTTCTACGCATTTACAGTAACATGAGTATTTGGCTCGTGAGGAAAAAACAAAACAAAAACAAAACAAAACAAAAACAAAAATAAAACAGTAGCCCAAATTACTATCCTGCACTAACACAAGTCAGAATCCAATGCTATTTCAAGATAGTGAGATCTAAGCCACAATAGTAGTCTTTTGGTAGTTTTATTTATCTGTTTCACATTGCAACAGCGGTTAGAAAAGTCTATTGAGTGACACATTGGGGCATTAACTCCAATTCAGTGCCGTATTGCCTTATTTTTGGTTCACTCAGAAAGCTTGAAATTGGCTCTAAAAACACACTTTTTATTTTTCGATTTGAGTGGTTTGCACAGAAGAGCTTTGATTAAGAGATAAGCAAGTGGACTAATACGTGTGTGCAGCTAGAAACAAAGTGAACAAGGGTTAAAGGTGTACTGTGTAACTTTTCTGATGGACAATCTGTGGGCCTGGGCAGCTGTCGGAGTGCACGAGAAGCAAGCGTATTAAAATGTTTAATAAGTAATTTTCTTAAGAGCTGTTTGATGTTTACTTTATTTGTTTTTCCTTTGCTTTTACAAATCAAATGACAAAATTAAACATCTTCAGCTGAATAGTGCAGTCTTTTAAGCATCCGTCTTCAAATTGGATGGTCAAAAGTTTGAATCTCATCCAAGCGCAGACATTTGTTGTGTTTGTGAGTGGGACAAATCAACCATTATCCACTCCTGGAAGGGCATCTGGTGTTAAAATATGCCTTACTGGCTTGTTCGCTGTGGTGACTGTCAAAATAGGGAGCAATATTAGTTAATAAATAGGAATTTGGGTTAAAAATGCATATTGTTTTTTATATGTGACAAGTTTGTATTTATGTGAAAACAAACAAAATCAATCCAATTCAATCTAATCTAAAAAATCTGAACTATTATTATGAGAATCACTATACATTTCAACAGAAAGTGAGAGTGCATGTACAATAATGGTGACAGACAACAAATGTATACTTGACATAGAAAAGAAAACAAGAGGCAATGACAAAATTTGATATGATAAAATCTTTTAGGATAAGGCTGAAACAAAATTAATAGATAAATTAATTCCATTCATTCAGATTAAGTATTTTTAAGTGCATTTTAATTTTCTGTTCCATCCTTTGTTTAGGGACCATATGACCCTAAATCCGCATAAATAAATCACAACATATGATAACATTTGCTTATAGTTAGTTACAGCATGGATCTGGAGGGCCGGTGAAAATTCTCTGGTGAAATCTCTTGTTTAACTGTCAAATTGTTATTCCGTTTTTAACTCTAGACTAAGAGCTAATGTAATAAAGTTTTGATGATAACAATTAAGTGTACTGAATACATGTATACTTGTGATCATTAGTCTGCTCGAAATCTGCTTGAAGTAACATTTGACGTTTGTTTACCTTGTTTATGGATGTGTAATTTCTTTGTAATTTGTCCACGTTAAACCAAATAAACACAATTCAACATCTTCTCTATAAACACAAATGCACAAAAGTTAAATGATTTTTAGGGCTTCAATAATGGGTCCATTCTTCAACTCCAAAGACGAGATCGTTATCGAGCGAAATAACTTTGAGCCATAACTGTAAAATTGCAACTTTGTGGAGCCAATTTTTAGCAAATAATACGTTTCAGCATTTGTGATATTTCAATTTGTATATTTCTTTCAAATACAGTAAACCTCCCATAGAGTTTAGACCCCAACCCTCCATCATGACATCTTAAAATTCAAGAACATAAACTCAGTCTATTGTCTTGTATCATACCCTGTGTTACCTGAGTCTATTAGATCGCCCCTGCCTCTCCCCTTCTCTTTAAAATCTGTGTATGTGGACTTGGTTTCACTGTCTAAAGTTGTTATGTTTTCTCCCCTCACAGAGCTACAAAAGGAAAACAGAGGCTGCTAAGAAGGAGTACCTGAAAGCCCTGGCCGCCTACAGAGCCAGTCTGGTTTCCAAGGTAACGGCGGGGGTCACGTCTTTGATATACATGGGTCAGCGCAGATATAAGGCATGATAAATGAGACAGAGAATTCCTCCCTCTCCTCCTCTCTCCAGCCAGAGGGGTGGGTGAGTTTGCTATGGTAAAGTCTGGGTGTGCGAAGCGGAGAACAGTTGAAATTAGGCATTGGACACACCTGATTTGTAACCCGGGGAGATGTGATGTTTGTCTGTGTGGGTGGGCGGAAAGCTGCTTTAGAAATGTATGAATAAGTAGGTTTTTGTCTGGGAAGGATATTGAAGCTTAAAGGACACGTATTATGCAAAAGTGACTTTTAAAGTGAGATTTTATACTGGTGTCACCTCATCAAATACTTACACTACCAGTCAAAAGTTTGGATTCACCCTCTCATTCAGTGTTTTTATCTATATATAAATATATTAATTAAGATATATAGAATTCTGTGGCAAAGAAAATCCTGAAATTAGCTAGTTAGTGTAGTTATTTATCTTTTTGTCTTTTATAAGATTAGGAATCAGCCTGTCATTAGACTGACATTCAGCATACTTAATACTAGGGTTGTCCAATATGGATTTTTGGGCTGATACAGAGTCCAATACTTCTCTGACTGCTGTGAGTGAGACCTATATTAAGATTTGAAAGGTCCGTACATTTCTGCTAAGTTATAATAAAGTTAACAAATAAACTTTTCATTTTTGCAAAAATAATACAATTGATTTATCTGGGATTTAAAACAAAATGTCCACGACTGAGTAAACAAACAACTAGCATGCTAACAGTGCACCAGCAATACTTTCTTGTTCACAGATGTTAAAAAATATCTGTGTTTTTAAACTCCATACGCCTTCACTAGAATCATGTGGATGATTTCAGCTCTTGCCAGCCTCTACTGAACTAAAGGTAAAAGGAGCTGTTAACTTGAAAACAACCATTTCATGACATCACAAGGTGGAACAGAACATTTTGAGCTTTGGTGATGTAGACAGACTAATAATAAAGGGTTACTCAAGCATGTGTGGCACAAAACACAACTCCAGGTGTGTTTTTGATGAGATAACAACATCATAACATAGCTTAAAGCTCACGAGTCAATTTTGTGTTAGACCTGTAATTGAACTCAACTCGATCATGTACAGCAGCATTGTTTGAAAGTTTATACCAAAAATCCTATTAGCATATATGTAGCTCCTCCCCCTCCTCCCTCCTCTCCCAGCTTCCGCACCCAGCCGCCATCGCTCACTGCCCGAAAACAAGCACCTTGATGAGGCATGAATAGTTAATTGATCAGCCTCTTCACACGGGGCACCACTTTGAGCTAAACACTATTCTCATATCTGCGCTGTAATTACGCATTCATGTCAGAGCTCCTATACACAGCCCTGATTGATAACTATATATGTTTGGGAGATTGCCTGTCAAAAAACAGCATCTACCCCATAACCATCCCCCCTCATTCACTCGGCAGCCAATTGGAAAACAGCTCTAACTCTCTTTTTTAATTGCCATCCACGCAGTCTTTTCATTGCGAGGTGGGGTCGGGAGAATTGGATGTAATTGGAGATTCATTTTGGAGGATTCACATCTTCAGCCTGCACCTGTTGCCTTTGTGAGCTAAAAGATAAGAAATATGTTGGCGTGGTAGTCGCTAAATAGTCCAAATGAAATGAGCAAAAACCAGGAAGTGACAGGTTCAGGGATGCTAATCATATAGGATGATGCAGCACAATTTGCAATATGATTTTATAACATAGGTGATTTTTTTTTTTTTTTTAGACTATTACATATGACTTCACAGCATGACTTAACCATCCTAGTAGAATTCAAAGCCACATTCAATTTTGCTAAAACACATGGCTGGGATACCAAATATTTTCAGGAATGTTATTAGAGTTATTAATTGTGATACAGATTTGAGCAAGTATCAAAAAAAGTCTTAATTACAGGACAGAAATGAACCTTCCCTGAATAGCTTTAGAATGATCTTGAGCTGTATCAGACTTGAGTCAC